ATTTTATTTTATTAATTTTTTTTAAAGCTGCATTCATAATAATTATAAATGAATTATCAAAGTGCTGGTTAAAATTCTTTTCAATTGAGTGTAGCATGTTACACCACTGACTGTGTCAAAGTATCCCAACAGTATTGCATGTCGACTACCTCTCAAAGTACCATGATAATTCTATTTGGAGATTCTGGACTCACAGAGATTTTGGTGAAAACGTAAAGAAACAGGGAAAGCACGGACAGGTAGATCCGGATCCGCTGCCCACCAAAGCGTTTCTTCAGAAACTCTGGCATGGTCACGACCTGCAGATAAAGAGAATAAAGGGTCATAAAAATGATACCGCAGAGATAAAGTGGTTGACACATTCATGTTGTGTAAGTCAGCAATATTTGAAAGGTTTGTTCGGCAATGCCGGTTGGAGAGGAAGAAATGTAAGCATACCCCAGCCTTTATGTAGATGGGCACGAAAAGCCATCCCAGAACAATCACGAGAACAAGAGCCTGAGGAAAATATTAAAAAGAGACCATCGGTTTGATATTTTCTACACATATTCTCATCAGTGTTGTTACTGTTATTGTTGACTAAATTTAAAGCTACTAAAAAAAACTGTTGTTACTTGAAACTGGAATCAAATAAAATTTAAGATGAAAATTAGAAATAATGCCTTTGGCACCTAACTGAAATAAAATAAGTTTTTGAAGTGCTTAATGACTAAAACTAAAACTAAAACTAAAAACTAAAAAAAAATAAAGCTAAATTGAAATAAAATTAAAAAAAACAAGAAACTATGAAAAATAAAATACAAAATATTAATAAATACTATAATACATAAATAATACTAAACTAACACTGATTACACTGATTAATTCGTTTTTTAATAATACTTTACTTTAAAATCACAATACTTACAGAATATTATTTTTCTTTTTTAATGATCTACAGACATAAAATGTTGCCACATGCCAAAATTATTAAACATCATAAATGTCTTTTTTATGCGTTTTTTTGACATACATTCCACTCAAACCCCCCGATAGCAATACCAGCAGCCGCTCCAGTTCCTGCTATTCCCACAAAATGCACACTTCCGATGTTACTTGCAAAGAGAGAGGCTCCAATCTGGAAAAAAAAAAAAAAACTTTTTATAGAAGCAGTCATATTAATATATGCTTCATCTTATATTCACTAATATACACACATTTGATATTCATAGGAAGGTTTACTCCTGTATTGTATTGTCCTTGTGTGAGTGTACGGTCTTGAGTGTTCTTGAGCCGTGTGCTCTCTTGTCTGCGGGCCTTGTTTTATGTTTGGAGTGTGGTGTTTGGATTCCGGCACTCATGTCTGGTTCGGTTTCGGTCTAGTGTCGGTGTTCAAACACTCATGCTCCATGTCTTGTTTCTCGTGTGAGTGCATGTATTGTGTGTTCATTCATTCACCATGCGCTCTTGTCTTGTGTGTTTTGTGAGTGCTTGTTTTCACTGGCCAGGTGCTCGTGTCATTTTGTTCTGTTTATCACGCGGTTTATGTTTACATTGGCCACGTGCTTTCATGTTATGTTATGTCCTGTCTTGTGTTGTGTTGTGTAGCGCACGGCTCGGGTTTTCCTCGGACGTGTGCTTTCATGTTGTCATGTTTTGTGTGAACACGCTGCTAATAAGTTTTCTCATTAGCTGCAAGTTCATGTCTTGTTTTGTGTGAGCACATGGCTTTGTTTTGTTTGTTCCTATGTGCCATGTGCTCTCCTGTCTATTAACCCCGCCCTTCTCGTTGCCTGATTATTGGTTCATTTGCCCCACCTGTCCTTCCTTGTTACCTGCCTTGTTTGCTCCATATTTATTCTCCTTGTGTTTGCAATCCTGCATCAGTTTGTTTACTTCGTCTGAAGGCCTAGGCAGTTGACTTGCTGCCCTATCAGGCAATGACTTTGCACACAGTGTTTTTGCTCGAAGGCACCTCATGAAACTGATTTCGAACAGGCTTCGGAGGCAGCGTAATAGCTTAATGATCTACAACAAAATAGAACGAGTTTCCCTTGCGAAAATTAACCATGGTTTTACTACAGTAAAAGTGTAGCAACCATGTTTTTTTGGCGTATTGATTACCATTTATATCACTACAGTTTTACTACAAATACCATGGTTAAACTATGGTTAGTGTAACAAAACCATGGTTAATTTGTGGTTACCATGGTTTAACAATAGTAACCATGGTTTTATGATTACCATGATTAATGATTAATTTTTGTAAGGGTTGGTGATAACTAAACAAATATTTAATTACTATAATACTGGTTTCTCACTAGAACTAACATCAAAAGTGCAAAAAGTTAGTCAGAAATATACACTTACACAAAAACTGACCACCAAACGTAACTTTCAGATGCCATCTTTATTTTTTAGCTCAACCGGAATGGAACGCACAGGATTGTGGGATATAAAAGGCAGCGAAGGATACATCTATGCTGCTTTCAAAAATCGAGGAAGCCTATCTCATGAGACAGGAATTGAAGCTAACTTTGGATTCGGACGTGCCTTGATGCCTTCCTACCTTGGAATGCGTCCTCCGAAGGCAGCATTTTAGAGCTTTCAGACGCAGTCGTCAACTAATGTCTAATGGTTGAGGGGAATGTTGCGACAGGTAGGACTCATTTACGTCATTATTACTAGCAAATGTGTGTCACATTACTATTTAATAAAAGATAAGTAATATTGTGCATTGTCTAAAAATATAGATGTTTTCTTTTTTGGTTTTCAGGTTTTACCTGAAATTAGACTTGATGACTATTATGTGACCTGCCTTATGTTGAAATAATGCGCTTTTAGTGAATAAAGGACACGAGTTATTTAAATTATTGTATTTTGTATGTTTAATGAAAATAAAATGTTTGTTCTTTTTCTTCCAAGTTTCAATAAATAGACTTGAAATGTAATGACTTGTGACTGCTGTGTATGATATAATGCTTTTTAATGAATAAAGGTAAAAAAAATAATTTTTATAAATAAAAAGGTATTCTTTCTATGGCTTCAATTTCAACAAATTAAATTTTTTTACTGACTAGTATCGATGTTATGTATGCCCAATCATGCTGGGTTTTTTAAATGAACAGAATAAAACCTAATCTTAAATTGTAGTGAAAGCTCTATAGTAGCCTACTTAACAGAGATTTAATTTAGACTTTTATTCACATCGATCGACGCACATCAGAACTGGTAAACGAAAGGTCAGACGCGATTGATGCGCAAGAACCAATCAGATTTTGTAACACGTTTTACGCAAGCAATACAAATAAATTAAATTTTTAGCCTGAGCTTCGACGAAAGCCAATGAGGTTTGTTTCAACATATCACGCGGTAGATTGAGCTTGTATAAATAACAAATATAGTCGCAAGCAGCGATTATCAGGGTTCAAGTGCTTTAAGGCCTTTATGGCTTCTATGTTGTTAGGGTCTAGGCCAAAGTGAACTGTATGGCTGACACCAGAACATCATGATGGAGAATTCAATCACACCAATGAAAGGGTTAAACTATATTACTTAATAGATACAGTATTAATACACACTAAGCATGCTCACACACAAATAACTGATTGTAAGTCTGCTGTTTATGACACCATTTTTCAGGTTTAATCATAATGTGGCATAATTGTAAAAACTGATATGTCTTTATAAATGCATTGGTAAACTTTGACTAAATGTGAGTTTAAATGTTATAACAGTGATTTTATAATGTCTAAATATAAATCCAAAAGTAAAACCTGAGAAAATAACTATATTAGGGAGTAGAATGAGCCAATGAGTGATCCTTTTCTGCCATCTAGTGATTATAATTGCATTTTCAGGGAATTTACTATAGAGACAGAGCGACACGTGTCATAATCTGAAAACCACGGCCACCGGGGGGTAAAACAATCCAACGCTCTCCATTGACTTTGTATTGCGGGAAGCTGCCTCCTTTTCATTTCTGACTTATAACAAAAACCAGAACAATGCCTAAAAGCTGCTATGTGACAAGGTGTACAGTAAACAAGCTAAAAAAAAAAAAACTATGTTTTTATAAGCTGTCGACCCAAAAAAATGAGCGATTAAAGACACAAAAGTAGTGTGCAACGTGTCGTATTACTCTGAGAACTACACCCACTGGAGGGAAACATAATCGGCGACAGGAAACATTCATCATTTTTAATGAAAAAATTTAGCTTACAGAAATATAATATATAAAACTGACATTTGGATATTTGACTTACCAGTGAGAAAATGTTTACTGCACACGTAGGCATACTGAGTGTCAGGATCCCACAATTTATCCATTTTTCCTGCTGATGCTTCACGTCATATTGCCTGAATCCACTTTTGTCTCCTTTAAGGCTGGCTTTCACGGTTCTTATAAAAACTTAGTTCTGTTTTTTTTTAGCTTGTTTACTGTACACCTTTTAGGCATGGTTCTGCTTTTTGTAATAAGTCAGAAATGACAAGGAGGCAGCTTTCCGCAATACAAAGTCAATGGAGAGGGTTTGATTGTTTTTTGTTTTTTTTATCAGTATATTTATTATTTTCACATCAACAATTTACAGACTTAGTACAATTTACAAGTAAACATTCTTTCCTAACCACCCTTCCACCCCCATCACATCCTCACTAGACAGAACACTTAAATGAACATTCTTACGAGGCATTGAGCTGGTGTGTAAAATAAGGAAAAAGACAAATGAAAAAAATAAAATAAAAAATACAAGTAATACAAATAAATACATAAATAACAATACTGATAATAAATAAAGAAATTAAAGTCAAGAAAGGGTTACATTATCACATCAGCATTTTCAGTCAGTGTAACATCCAAATTATTCACGTATGCAATAAATTTGCCCCAAATCTTTACAAACATTGATGACTTTTTTTTTCAGATTAAACATTATTTTTTCAACAGGCACATAGGACGAAAGTTCTCTAAGCCATACACTAGGCCTTGGTGGTTCTTCTGATTTCCATTGTATAGCTATACATTTCTTTGCTGCTATCAGAGCCCGGGTTTGATTGTTTCCCCCCCCCTGTGTGGGCGTGGCCTAAATGCGCTTTGTCTCTATAGAAAGTGTTTTTAACCTCCAGTCTCCATAAAATTTTGCATGCTTGTTTAGAATAATATGATGCATGACTTTAAGTTTTGAGTTTTCTTAAAGGATTCATAGGCTTTTGGGTACACTATCAAGACCGTATTATTAAATGGCTCTGTTATAACTGTCTAAATGCAAAGGTTCATTTTTTTTTTTTGATAATTACCAAGTGAGTCCAGAGAATTATACTGCTCTGATTTTATTGATTTTGAGTTAAAAACCTAGGACTGTAAAACAATCTCCATAAACTTTGCAAGCTTGTTTAGAATATGTCACACATGCTCAGTTTTGTTTAGTTTTGATTTTCTTTTAGGATTTATAGGCTTTTGGGTAAATTTGGACACGCCCCTTTTCTAAATGATCCTGTTATATCTACCCAAAGAGAAAAATGCAATTTTTAAAAAAATAATTATTGATAGTCCAGAGAATTGTACTGCAGTGGTTTTATTGAGGTTGAGCGAAAAACCTAAGACTAGTTCACACAAATCGAGAATATTTCATGAAATGATATGAATATTGTGTGGATGTGTGAAAGACCACGTGATTACACAGGCATAAAACTTGTTAGTGCTAGTGGCCGATTTCTTTCAAAATTTTTACAGACCCTAGAGCCATGAGTCGAACATGCCCACCGAGTTTCGTTCCGACCGGCCTCCGTTAACCTTGTCTAAAAGGTGCTCAAAATTCATTGGCTGATAACGGCCATGTTTTTTGAGATATGCAGATGCCCTCATACACAGACATGGCACCTTGGACAAAGACACGGCATACAAATTTTCAAGTCAATCGGACTAATCGGTGCGTAGTTATAGCAGGTTTTTGTTTTTACTGACCTCAAATTGAGCTCTTACATAAGTGTTCCCAGTTTGGCAAAAATATCTCTTTCCATTCAACAGTTATAGGTGTTTTAGTTAAAGCAGTTCCACCCCTTAGGAATGTTTTGGCATCCGGTCGCGACGGTGAGTCAAAAGTTCAACTTTTTTGATAATTGTTATTCACTCTCCAGAGAATCTTTCTGCACTGGTTTGGTTCCGATCTGCTAAAAAATCTAGGACTAGTTCGCAAACGTAGGTTTTTCAACAAATCCAAAAAACCCGAAAGGGTGATGACGGAATCCGATGCGTTTTGTCCGTTGTGAGCCAAGGCTTCCAACTATATGACACTTGAGCCTGTGACTAACAATTTAGGAGCGATTATGTACTTTTGATTGCTGGTGACGTTGTAGACGGTGTGAGTACTACCATCCCTCCAAGTTTCGAGTCTCTACAATTTATGGTTTGGTCCGCCCGGTCACTTTTAGGTGGAGAATGCTGATCCTTGGCCTTTCTAACAATTACAGTAGGGTTTCAGCGCTAAGCGCTTAACCCCTATAAGGATATCATAATAATTTTGAAAAATCATTTATGATGCTCTTCAAATGATGCGATGTTGAAACGCTTTTGGAAAGTAAAGTTAAATAGTAGCCTATTAGAATGAATGTACTATGTATTTAAAAGTTAAGTAAATGTGTATTTTATTTAAATGGTATTACAAAAGAGCCTTTTAAGTATTCTTTTATGAGTACAAAAAGTAAAACAGAACAACTGTTTGCTTGCTTGCTTATTACTAAGGCATAGTTGAAAAAATTATATTTCTAAGTTGGTACAATGTAAGAATGCACTTGCATATTTTATAGCTGTAATGTACAATGTGTGAGTGAATTAATATACTTTATAAAATATATTAAAATGTTAATGTTTTTTTAAGATATCTTACTTTTGAAAAGCAGGCTAAAGTACGTTCATTACATAAATACATACTTTAAACCTAAAAATGTTCTTACACAAAGTAAACTTAAATATTATTTAAATAAGAGTAAAATAAGTATGTTTTCTGTAAATACACTAAAATGTCATAAAAAGCAAATTTTTAATACATTTAAGAGTGCTTCTTTTTCACCTGGGTATTAACTCTGTCTATTGTTTGACTATATGTGGCAATACAATCACCATAATGATAAGCTATAAGAACTGCTTCTTCTGCACAGCCTGAGGTGTAATTCAAACAATAACGATTGGAACAATAAACTTTGTAACAACAAATAAAAACCTTAAAAATTTGATATAAGGTGATAACTTTAGCATTGACCAAAGTTTGACAGTTCCATAAAAACTGCATGAGCAAAGCATATCAGTATTTTCAGCTGTAATGAATAGTGAGTCGCATCTGGCATCAGTGCATAACGGCCCCATAAAAGTTATCATTCATGATATCATATCATATTCATATCTTCATATCTTATTGATATCATGATATCAAGGTTCTGAAATGGAGGGGCAGTTAGGGTCATTATCATGCCATATCTGTGATCATGTGAAATCACTGGTCATGCTATTGATAGATACATAATCAGCACAGATACAAATGCGTAGCACATTATGACAAAAATTCGCCACATTTGGCACACTGATTGATAACTATTGATGTATTGTTTGATGTATTGATATGATCATGACATATTGTCTATGTCCATCACATTCTGAGTGCAAAACAAGATGCTTTTAAGGTTTAAAGCACGATTATCCTCCATCTTGATCCCATTTACTTACTGGCCACCACACCATACTTCTGCCAGCCAGGAAAAAGCCTCCCACTGTGGCTCGATTGGTCCGTACCATTGCCTTTGGACAGAAAGAGTCATTCAATTCAGCATATATACAGTTCTAGACTCTTAAAATATTAGACAAAATTGTATGTGACTTTATGTATGACATCATAGCTGCAGGATCAGACTCGTTTAAGAATAACATTGGTGGACTCAAAGGTTGATGGATTGGTGTTCAATGTCTTTGTTTGTTGTTTGATTAAATATGTTTGAATTTTCTCAAGAGGTTTTAAAATGATACGGATTTCGGATGTGCAAATACAAGAAGAAAAATATGGTTTTATCAAGAAATCCCAGAAATGTCAACGCCCTCAATAAGACTAATTTGTAAATAATTTAGTAAAATAATTTCTAAAAATGTGTACATTTCTAAAAAATTATTTTTAGTTTTAAACAGATAGAAGTATGATTAATAGTTCATTCGCATATGAAGAATTATTAAAAACATAATAATAATAACATTATTAGAGCAATTAATTAATTTTTCTAAAGGATTTTAGCTTTTTGGATTATATTACAATGTATTATAACTTTCTGCAAAATCAGTTACCATCAACATTCTGTCTTCAGACTTATCTTATACAGCCATTTATATGTACATTACATTTATATTTTGATGAAAAGTTAACAATTCACAAGTTTATCAATGGTAGAAATATCTTTTACAGAAACTATTGACCACTTACCCATATTCCCACAGCTAGAACCACCAGAAAATATATAACAATCACTGAGATGTCCGCTGGATTGTTAATATATATGGTGATGTTTTTTCTGTTCTCATTGCGTATCCAAGAGAATCCAAAATAATCTTCACCCATTTTGCTGATGTTTGAAGGGCCAGTGGAGCAGCACACTGCGTCCCTCTCTGACACAACGGTAAAGACACCTGGATCACACGCTCACCTGCAGGTGTATGAACGTATCTGCGTGTGCACACATTCACTTATATGTGTGTGTCTAGAGATAGGTGCGACCTTCTCAGAGTTAATTATAAAAGTGTGTTTGTGACTTAGAGTTGTCAAAAATCTGAGATTGAGAATCCTTAATGATTAATTTGTATGGCAGGTGTATAGCAACTGTGAGACTGGTAGGGAGTCAATTATGTAAAGTAAAGATCCAATACTGCAATCTATGGTGCAGACATTAGTGTATATACAGTATACAACATTGGTTATGTTATGTTAAGGACACCCTGTGCTTTGTGGCATTACAGCTTCAAGACAAAAGAAAGTAAAAATGGCTAATGAAACATCAAATGACAACCATTACAAATTTAGCATTTAAGCTTCCTACACTACAGATGGTGTAATTAATGGATATGAATCACCACATGGATATGAAAGGTCCATTGTCTATTAGCAATGAATGAAGCACATGTTACACAGATGTCAAACCAAGCAGATTTCTGTTGGCCAACCAGGGAAATTTGCTTAAAAAAATTTGACCCCAATGCAAAATCTGCATTGTAAAATTCTTCGCCATTTTGCAAAATTACAAATCGTGCAGATTCCCATGGAAATGACCGGATTTTGCCTACAAGACCAACGGTAAATATGACCGCACCATAACTGGCTAATCGCACTACTAACTGCTGTTCTCTTTCAGTCGGTCACTTCGATGTTGTGTCGAAGTTGACACTAGCGGTCGCTCTCAGGAGCTCAGACACCACTGACATCATTGAGAAAAGGCCAATGAAATTGACAAGCAAAATTGGCATCTCATCGTCATTGGATATATGGCACAGGCAGTGGTCTCTTCCTTCCCCACACACAGCTAAGTGTTGTGAGAGTACCCCTGGGTGCTTCAATGCCGTATATTGAGAACAAATTTCCTCCTAAAAGTGTAAATTCTCTGAAAGATCTTAATGGGTGGAATCGTGTGTTTACATCATGACTTTCCATCCGTGCCCTTCTGGTTGCGGTTTCTACATCTCTCCTAATGACCAGCACGATCGCTGCGTTCAGTGCTTGGACCGTACTCGTGCTGAAGCTGCCCTCGTGGATGGTTCATGTTCTGTTTGAGTACAATTTCTCATTCGGGGCTCGTGAATAGGATGAGCTGTCGATCGCCACATCAGAGGGCAGGCTAGAACCAACCGAAGTTGATGACTCGACAGAACCGGCGCCCTCGGGTGCCGAGTTTCAGTCTGAGGTAGAGACCTGCACTCCCGTGGGACCCAGGGTGCAGCGCGGGACAACTCTTGATGGGCGAGTGCGGGTGTGGGCGGGAAGAGGCTCGTGTGTGTGCGGGATGCAGGAGAATAAAATTATTTGCGGGACTCCCGCAAAATAGAAATGATCTAAACATAAAATGTCTAAAACATATAAATTGTTATTTATGTGTTACACAAAAGCAAAAAGAACAACTAATAAAATTAAAATTATTAACACGTGCAAGATAGGCAGAGTTTCTATTTATAACAAATGTTTAAAGAGTTACGCAATGTAGCCAATCACAGACTCAGCTGTTGATTTCTGGAACGCAATGGCCAACCAGAGGTGATTAAGTTAGAATCCACTCACCGCAGTGCTGAAATTGCGTGCTCACGAATCGTCTCATTTTAACACACGAAGTGTAGACATTGTGAAATATTCATTGTGCAATGTGCATATGTTCATTGTGTTATAACAGAACTTTATGAGATCACGATGAACTGAGATGTCAGCTTTTAGTACCTAATAAAGGAAGCGTTGCTCGCATTCTGTCATGCCAAACCATGCACGCAGCAGCCCATGCTTGCTTTTCTGTTAAAAAATAACAGTGGTTTGTGAATGTTGATGCTTAGCCTAAATAACAAATATTTTATCGGGAGCATTTATGCTGGGATGTTGTGGATCTTAGGAGATGTTACAGAACCATTTAATGTACATTTCTTTGATGTGCTGAAAAAAATCTATATAGATTACTTTTATGCTGGCTTTTGAGGGCAGGAGCGGGACAAAACATGACTGTCGCGGGCGGGAGCGGGCCCAGATAAGATATTTTTCTGCGGGAGCGGGCGGACGCGGGAAAGAATTTTGCGGGAGTGGGACTGAAAAATCCATCCCGCGTAGGTCTCTAGTCTGAGGCAGATGCTGAGATGGCGGCCGTGCTTGGCCGGGCAGCCAAGAGCATGGGGCTCGAGTGGACGTCTCCACCCTGTCCTGAATGCTCTCGGCTGGATGACTGGTTTCTAAGCTACGCCCAGCCCCAGTTCCTTTCTTTCCGGAGGTGCATGAATGTGCCTCATGGCCAGAACACAATATACCACATGGAAGACAGCCACCAAATAGTCATTAAAAGAGCTATTTCCTTCCCTGGGACACACACACACACCCCGCGCTCTGCCGGGTGTGTAGACAAGGCACTCTGCACCCTGAAGAACGATATGCCCTCTGCCACTGTGCCTTTTGCTCCACAAAGCCACAGGAACCCACCCCAGGTAGGTCGAACGTAGATCCACTGAGACCATTGGCAAGGTGTCTGGATGCTTGGTTGAAGCTCCCCAGCACTTCCCGGTGGCTTCTCAGAACTGTTCGGCTCGGCTATGCAATTCAGTTTGCCAGGCGTCCGCCGAAGTTCAGTGGCATTCTGTTTACCTCAGTACGAGGCGAGAATGCTGCTGTTCTTAGAGCGGAAATCACAAGAGTCAAGAGATGAAGAAAGGGTTTTACAGCCCCTACTTCATTGTACCCAAGAAGGGTGGGGGGCTCAGACCAATCTTGGACCTGAGGGTGCTGAACCGGGCCCTTCAAAAGCTCCAGTTCAGAATGCTGACCCTCAAGCACGTTAACATGTGTAAAGGACTGAGATTAGTTTGCAGCAATAGACCTGAAGGACGCGTACTTTCACGTCTTGATCCTTCCAAGGCACAGGCTGTCTCTTCAGTTTGCCTTCGAAGGGCAGGCATATCAGTACAAGGTTCTTCCCTTCGGGCTGTCCCTGTCTCCTCGAATACTTTCAGAGGTATCTAGGGCATATAGCATCCTCATCCGCGGTTACGCCGTTGGGACTGATGCATATGAGACTGCTTCAGCACTCGCTTCATACCTGAATCCCGAGATGGGCATGGCACCGAGGCACACATCATGTGAGCATCACAACAGAGTGTCGCCGCACTTTCAGCCCTTGGAAGGACATCTTGTTTCTACGAGCAGGGGAGCCCTTAGAGCAGGTGTCCAGATGCATTGTTGTCACAACAGATGCTTCCAAGATGGGCTGGGGTGCTGTATGCAACGGTTGTGCAGCCTCCGGGGTCTGAACGGGCCCTCGGCTGCATTGGCATTTCAATTGCCTGGAGATGTTGACAGTGCTTCTGGCCTTGAGGAGGTTTCGACCATTGATCCAAGGCAAGCACCTGTTTGTCCAGACACACATTCCGGGTGACCTCAATTGTGCAGTGTGGAGGCTTCACCCCAGACAGTTCAGCTGATTTGGAGTCGATTCAGTCAGCGCAGATAGACCTGTTTGCCTCGCCAGAACCCACCATTGCCCACTGAGATATTTCCTTTACTGAGGCCCCCCTCGGCACAAACGCACTGGTGCACAGCTGGCCCAGGGAATTACGCAAGTATGTGTTTCCCCCGGGGAGCCTCATTGCACAGATTCTGTGCAAAGTCAAGGAGGACAAGGACCAAATCTTGTTGGTGGCACCATATTGGCCCAACAGTTCTTGGTTCTCGGAGCTTGTGCTGTTGGCTTCAGCTCCTCCTTGGCAATTTCTCCTGAGGAGGGACCTTCTCTCCCAGGGGAAGGGCACAATCTGACACCAGTGCCCAGAACTCCGGAACCTCCATGAAATGGCGCATTTTCGTGAATTGATGTTCTTCCTATGGGAAGGATCCCTGGAGATGTGGCATCGGATCTGTGCTCTCCTTCCTCCAAGAGGGCCTGGACAGGCACTTGTCTGCTTCTACACTCAAGGTGTACAGGTGCATCTCAATAAATTAGAATGTCATGGAAAAGTTCATTTATTTCAGTGCAATTGCAGCAGACCACAACACTGTATATGGCAGATCAGTGGGGAAACACAATCTGGTTATCATATTCCAAAGATAAGATGAGTCCAGTTCAGTTCCTTTTTATGAACCATGGACTACTCTTCCATCACTCAAAGCACTCTAACGTGGCTGAGTTCAGCGGAGGAACTTGCTACAAGAATCCATTACAGGGAAATATCCCTCAAGTGAATGGATCTTGTAATGGATTAGTGCCCCATATGCCGTGGCTCCCTCTGGTTGACCCATATGTATATTAGTCCACTGCCCTGTTCCGTAAGGATTCAGTGTTTCCCCTAGAAAGACAGTCAATATTTTGCTTGTTTCTGTGTTTGGTAGCTCTCCCCTTATGTGGGGCCCACCATAGAAATCTTCCCTATGAAGTACTTCCTTTCAGTAAGTCCTTGGTTTGTTCTCCACATGTCACCTCCCCTTCGGGTAGGATGTGGTCTCTGTAGTGTCCTTTCCCCACTCGGGAAACAGATGCTTTCACAACATTAACCACCAGAACTTTTCAACCGTTACTTATTCCTACTTTCTCAGAGTGAGAAAAGGCTCCAGCTGAGGTGAACTCTGCCTTATATGGCGCCCCCATGGACTCGTAACGCAGTTCAGTAGCTGTGGCGTTTAGTATAGGGACCCCTAGTGTCACCTTTGACACAACGTTGAAGTGACCGACTGAAAGGAAATGTCTCGGGTAGGGATGAAACGATTACTGGTTTGACGATAAATCATGATAAAATTCCCTACAGTTAGTATTACCGTTCTGACTGTCTTCAGAAAAGATTTGATGACATTTTGTTTTCATCTTCGCTCCATGTAATACCTAATAAAGTAGTGTT